TTCTTTATGTTTATTTTTGAGAGAGAGAGAGAGAGAGAGAGCGCACCAGGGAGGCAGGGAGGGGCAGAGAGAGAGAGAGAGAGAGAGAGAGAGAGGGGCCAGAATCCGAAGCAGTCAGCACAGAGTCCGATGCGGGGCTCGAACCCACGAGCCGTGAGGTCGTGACCTGAGCCGAAGTTGGATGCTTAACCGACGAAGCCACCCAGGCGCCCCTCCGTCTCCCTGTCTTAACTGAGGCCTCCCTTGTGAAGCTCTCAGGTGTGGGCCGCTCATTTCTCCACGTCACAGATGTCCCCGGTTGAGGAGCAGATCCGTCTCACCGTCCCCGGACCCTGACTCCTTGGCTCTAAGGCCACAAGTTCTCGGCAGGGGCTCGTGTCACTGAACCACAGTCCTTGCTGCTGCTCCCGTCTCTTGACCTCCTGAAGGTCTGCCATGTTCGCTGAAGACCGTGCCCCCTGGGGGCTCCCCCTCTTCCAGATTCAACGCCATCTCAGGGAACTTCGGCATCCGTAAGACAACCCCTCCCGCACCCAGTTTCTGGACCTCGACTTCGGCGATCCTTACTTTTACACCACTTTTGGCCACGTTCACGGACTTCATCACTACTCCGAGGGCTGTCCGGGCCGATCACCAAAATGCTCCCTCCCTGAAAGTCACATTTTTTGTCCTTTAGTAAAACAGTTTCAGGGACCAGATGAAAGGACTTCTCAGTATACCATCTGCATACGCACCTGACAGCTCTGGGCCACCGTGAGGGGGACGGCCCCTTACAGCTGGCGTTCAGAAATGGTGTCAGGGTCACACTGAGCGTCGCGCATACTTTGGTTTGTTTGCGAAATGTCTAGTTGAGGCTAGCATGGCATTCTCGTGAAGTGCAATCCAGATCTGCCAGGCGGGAGGGGCGCCCCGCTGGCTCGGCCAGAAGAGCACGTGCCTCTTGATCTCAGGGTCATGAGTTCGAGCCCCAACTTGGTTGTAGGGATTACTTAAAAATAAATAAGCAAATAAATAAACACACAACAAAAACGATCTTCCACGCGGGCGAGGCAATAGAGTCTCACAGTCAGAAGAGCAGAACCTCTGGAGTCAGACAAGTCAGGTTCTATCCTGGCCGCCTCACCTGCTGGCCATGTGACCCTGGGCACTTACCTAGCCCCCCCGAGCCTTGGTTTCCTTATTCATAGTACCCACTTCACGGGACTTTCGTGAGAATTAAACGAGGGGTGCATGGAAGGCACTCAGCAGCGTCCTGCACATGGGAAGGGTCAATAAATATGGGCCAGCGTTGCTATTTACTATTACATAGAAAGTTCGCTTCAGGGCGCCTGGGTGGCTCGGTGGGTTAAGCGTCTGACTCTCGCTTTCGCTCAGGTCATGATCTCACGGTTCACGGGTTTGAGCCCTGTGTTGGGCTTTGTGCTGTCAGCGCGGAGCCTGCTTTGGGTGCTCTCTCTCTCTCTCTCTCTCTCTCCCTCTCTCCCTCTCAGCCTGTCTCTGCCCCTCCCCCACTCATGCTGCCTCTCTCTCTCTCTCTCAAAAATAAATAAACATTAAAAAAAGAAAAAAACGTTCTCTTAAGGAAAAAAGACAACAACTCCTTCCTCCGCAGAGCTTCGTGTGACCGTCAGCACCGTCAGGACACAGAAGTGCCCCTCTGCCCCCGCGATGCTCGGTAATTTGTTCTTTTTATTGCTGAGTCGTGTTCCGTTGTGCGGCCCCACCACAGGGTTTACCCACTCGTCTGTTAACGGACGTCCCTTTCCCTTTTCATTTGTACTTTTTTTGCAAGTTTATTTTGTATGAGAGAGAGAGAGAGAGAGAGAGAGAGCGCGCGCAGAGGAGGGCAAACACAGGGACAGAGATTCCCAAGCAGACTTTGCACCATCAGTGTGAACCCTGATGCGGGGTTTGAACCCATGACCTCAAGTGGTATCATGAAGCGGATATGACCTGAGCCAAACTCTAGAGTCGGACACTTAACCGACCGAGCCACCCAGGCGCCCCTTATTTCTTTTGTTATTTGTCTGTTCCTCTCAACTAGAATTTTAGTTCTGGGGCAAAGGGGATTTTTGCCTGTTTGGTTCACTATGGTATCTTCTGTATCCTTGACACAGAGCAAATGTTCAACAAATATTTGAATAAATGAATATATTCACTTAGGGCCTCCTCACTGCCAAATTCAGTAGGATTTTTAAAAATATCTTTTTAAGTTTATTTTGAGAGAGAGAGAGAGAGAGAGAGAGAGAGAGAGAAAGAGAGAGGGAGGGAGGGCGAGCTGGGGAAGGGCAGAGAGAGAATCCTAAGCAGGTTCCTCGAAGCGTGGAGCTCAAGAACCATGAGATCATGACCTGAGCTGAAACCAAGAGTCAAACACTTAACTGACTGAGCCACCCGGGCACCCTTGGTATTTTCCTATTGGATTTTGGAGCAGTATTTGGCATTAATAACCAGTAACGTTTTGCCCTCCTCAATTTATACGACTTCTCTAGGAAATTCTACCATAGCCATGGCTTTAAACACCATCTAGAGCTAGATGACTTTCAAATCTTTCTCTTTGGCCCTGACCTCCCACCCTGAGCTCCCAAACCAAGCACTCAGCTGCCTACTGGACATCTCCACCTGGACAGCACACAGGTTTTCAAAACTTCACACTCCTAGAACCCATTATTGACTTTCACCTTGACCACATGAAATTTATTCTTTCTTTTTTTAAGTTTATTTATTTATTTTGACAGAGAGAGAGAGAGAGAGAGAGAGTGGTTGAGCACAGGGGAGGGGCAGAGAGAGAGGGAGAGAGAACATTCTAAGCAGGCTCCGCACACCGTCAGGGCAGAGCCCAACGTGGGGCTTGATTTTCACCAACCGTGAGATCATGACCTGAGCCAAAATCAAGAGTTGGATGCTTAACTGACTGAGCCACCCAGGTGCCCCATGAAATTTATTCTCTCTTCTGTATTTCTTTTTAATTAATTAATTAATTAATTAATTAATTAATTTTGAGAGACAGAGAGAGAGAAAACGCATGCGTAAGTTGGGGGAGGGGCAGAGAAAGAGGGAGAGACAGGATCCCAAGCAGGGTCTGCACTCTCACCACAAAGCCCGATGTGGGGCTCGATCTCACGAACTGTGAGTTCATGACCCGAGCCGAACTCAAGAGTCCGACACTCAACTGCCCGAACCACTTGGCCACTCTTGTATTTCTTTTTTGTTTTTTTTTAAATTTATTTTTGAGAGAGAGAGAGAGAGAGAGAGAGAGAGAGAGAGAGAGAGAAAACAAGCATGCTAGTGGGGGAGGGGCAGAGAGGGAGAGAGGGAGACAGAGGATCCAAAGCAGGCTCCTTAGAAAGACGTACAAGGCCCTTAAATAACAATTTTCCTGGCATTAAAAGCATCATTCACCCCCTGCACTCCTTAGCAATATTTCTGTGCTTCCATTAGAGCTCATTATCCCCTCTGAAGACTTTTCATTTATTCAGATGCTTATTTCATACCCACTAGGTGCCAGGTGCTGAGGATACAGCAGTGAACAAACAGATGAAAGTCCCTGTTCCCACAGAGCTGAAATTCTAGTTGGGGGAGAGGAATAGACAAAGAAGGTAAATAATTATACCGAATATTAAAAGGCACGGGATGCTCTGAAGAAAATAGGGGCAGGGAAAAGATATAGGGAGTGCCTAGAGGGTGTTGAAGTCTTATTTGGGTGGTCAAGGGAGACTCACCAAGCAAGACCTTTGAGGAAAGATCTGAAGGACTTGAATTGTGCAGCTATCTGCAAAGGCCCTGGGGCAGGAGCATGCCTAGGGCGTTAGAGGGACAAAAAGGAGGCCAATGTGGTGAGAATGGAATGAACAAGACAGTAACAATGGCTGGTAGGCCATCGTAAGTATTTTGGCTTTTACTGAGTGAGAGTGACATAAAAATGTTTATTTTGGGGGGGGGGGCGGGAAAGGGCAGAGAGAGGGG